CGGCAAATTTTTTTTCTACAAATTTTACCTTCCCACTTGACATGGATATTTGCATAGGACATTGGAATTCAATATAAAAAGGACAGAAAAGCTTTCAACATAAATATTACCTCTGAAATTTAAATAAAAACAAAATATACTTTATTAGAAGATGGTCTTACTGTCTTACTAATGATAATAATGTCAATTTATTAGCAAAATTAATTAATTTTAAGGTTTTATTTGACTTTTGTGATGGTCTTACTAATGATAATGATCTAGCATACTTTTTTTTTCATTTATTTATTACGAGTAAAACACTAAAGCACATAGTTTTAAAAAATATAAGGAATTTAAAATAGGGAATATTCATACATTTTAGCATAATGTTTTATATATGGCTGGGCACACCGTTTGACAGGGGTTACTCATTTGACCAGGGGTTACTTGTATGACTTACTTATTCAGGGGTTACTCGTTTGGTCAGAGATAAAATATAAGAGTTACTAATTTAGGGGTTACTTATTCATGGGTTACTCGGTCGGTCAGGGGTTACTCTGATTATAGAGAAAACGCGCTTATGACTGAGTAAGTAACCCTTACAAGTAATCCCGAAATAAGTAAACCCTAATTAAGTAACCCATTAATAGGTAATCCATACAAAAAACCCCTATAAGTAACCCCTGACGCACAATATGACCAACCATACACGGAAAAATTATTATATTCCGGGTATACTTTTATTTATTCTATAGAAATAGGCACAAGACAGAAATTAAATTTAGATGGGATTTAAGAGAAATCAAACTTGCTACCTATCTTGTACATTGTACGAGTAGTAAGTATGACTTAAAGATAAGTACTTTCAGTGAAATAAATGGCTCGTGTGTGATGGATAGAATTGGACACTTATCGAGTTTGTCATTGGGAGATTGGTTGAGTCGTAATTTCATGTTTGTGTACGTGATAAGGATAGAACTTTCAGGTGTTTATTCATAGTATCCAATTAACATGTGGATGAATGTAGGAAAGATCATGGTTAAACATAGGCCCATTAATAAAGCAATTCTTAGATGATTGGATTCCATGACTGATGATTGAATTGGACTCAACAAATGTTTAGAAAATGGTTCATTCACAATATTGGTGGGTCTTGCAGAATTATTTTTGCACCATTTAGGCTATTATACTTTTTACAATTACGTTAGAAAAAGATATAAACATATGTGACAATACTGTCTGATTTGAATATGTTGTGTATTTACAACATATTCAAATCAGACAGTAATCTTGGAAAACAAAGATTAATTACTAATTTGATGTGTTAAATTCTTGACTTGGTAATAAATATGGACTATGGAGTGGCGTAATCTTTCTTAGTTGACCTAAGCAAACAATTTTAAAATATCTTCTCAACTAACCCTCCCTTGAAAGCAGGAGAAGGATATACCTTGATGCTATTTAATTAACGGCTAAACTATAACGAGTAATAAAATTTGGTGATTTTTTTTTTCCCGGTTAAAGTAGAAAAATTGTACTCCGTATGTATTAAATTGGTACCTCTTACAAATTAATTAATACAATTAGTTAGGTTATGGAAAGAAGAAAGTGTTGGATAACTTAAGTGGTTAGAGCTTCCCTCCCGATTTCAGGAGATCCTGGTATCGATTCTCCTCGCCCATCCTTGTGGCTCTCTAATCACCAAAAAAAAAAATGGTTATGGAAAGGAGTATAAGGGAATCTCCATATTAAACTCCAAATTACGATATAAGAGCCATATTTGAGACCTCAAATTAAGGTGAAACAGTGAAACCCCTAATAAGTACACTAATTACTAGTTAATTGTTGTTGAATTCTTATTAATCATTTAATTTAGGTGTTATTTGTATGACCTCCTTACTTTAATAATCTTAAATTTTGTTATAGAATGAGGGGGTAGCTTAATTTGATGTTCACCTTTTCAAAATGTCGTAATTTGATGTAGATTTATGCATAAACAATTTTTTTTTGCTGATGATCAGATTAACCAAATGTTTTATTGAGAGGGACGTAATTTTCAATAATATGTTGTATCTTGTATGCATTTTGCTGTAAACACGAGAATGGACTAAAGTTGGTGTGTTTATTTTTTAATTTTTAATATTTAGACATATAATAAAGTTTGGAGTTAAAGAATGTCATTATCAATATAAATGCATGATTTATAAGCACTTTGGCTTAAATTGATGCTCTTATGTCAATGGAACTTTCTTCTCAACCCCCCTCTTCTCTCCCAATCAAACAAAATTGTCGGCAATTATTATTATTATTACTATTAAATACGAGTATTATTTATTTCATATATTACTTATCTATTCAATATCATATAGTTGTCCTTCTAAAAAGTTTTTAAATGATATTACTTGTTCTCAAAAAAAAAAATGATATTACTTGAAATTTAATTTTATGTGTTATTTTAAATTGATTGTTGAATACTCGTTAGTAATTTTGAAAAAGAAAATTCATATACATAGTTATTAATACTAGCACCATTGTTCCTCATGTTATTAATGGTGCTAGGATGCTTACAATACATTATACTATCCACAAAGATCTTCTCACTCATTATAAATTTGCACACTAGCAAAAATTCATAGAATAATGTAAGTAATTGACTACTAGTTGTGATTAATTTTTGATAAGAGAGACGAATTGTTAAAGAACACTAATAGCCTCACAGTGGGTGAAGTTGGAGTAAAAGTATAAGAGTTTGTTCCGATTTACAAAAAACAACTGAACTAAATTAATTGGAGCTGAACTGAACTAAACTGAAATGAATTGTTTATAAAAGAAGGAAATTAGGAACTAAACCAAATAAAACTGAACTGAAATTAAGCTGAACAGAACATGCACTTAATAATTAAGGGCCTGTTCATATTTACTGAACTGAGCTGAACTGAACTGAACTGATTGGAGCTGAACTGAACTGAACTGAACTAAACTGAAATGAATATTTAATGAGAGAGGGAAATTAAGAGCTGAACTGAAACTGAACTGATTGGAGCTGAACTGAACTGAACTGAAAATAAGTAAATATGAACAGGCCCTAAGATAAATCAATAACTAAAACTAATTAAGGTACTTCAAGTTCGGAAAAGAAATGAGTGCATATGAGTTCTAATAAGATTTCCTCAAGTATTGTTAAGTTTAGATAAACCAATTAACGGTATCTTAAGTGCTAAATTACAACCCAATAAATAGGAATTTAATTTGAATATACTAATACTAAATATTGTCTATAATGTATAGTTATTTTTAGATTCTAATATTAATCTGAGAGAAAAAAGGGAATAAAAAAACATAACGAGTACTCCATAATTTACAAAGACCAAGTTCGATCCATATAACTTAGTTTGATATTTTTTTTTCCATACGTAAATTTGAATATATACAATCACAATGACACGTGAATAAATCTAAACGTATTAAAATCAATTTTATTCATTAAAATAAACAAATTACAAATTTAATTAGTAATTGAAGAAGAAAATGACAAGTGATACACTATGCTGTAATTGATGAAGACAATTTAACCTATTTGTTGGTAATTAATATGCTATTAAATAAATTTTCAACTATTAAAGAGTAGGACAAATAACAAAATTTATTGACAATTAATGTGAAATCATTTTTCTTCCTATCTAAAAGATTTAAACACCCAAATAATTAATTGTTACTTCTCATTCACACTCTTCCTACTAAAGTTAAGGTAAAAAATATTTATAAATAATTTAATAAAAATAAAATAAAAAATCATTCTAGTATTATACACTTTTGTGTACCACGCACCTATGGAGCTCCAAATGAGTCCAAAGAAAAAAAAAAAAAAATAAAGTGGAAATACACATAGGCGTAGAAGGAACCCTTTTCATAACAATCATTAATAACCCTTTTTTCATGATCCAATGAATTTTTTTGAAGTTGAAATAGGGCCAATAAGGTCAATAAAATTGCTTCATTTTTATGATATAATAATCTTTCAATATTACCAAAATTATAAGATAGATTGTCCAGAATAAGCATCAATGTAGAATCAACCAAACTTCCAAGAAAATGTTTCATATTAATAACCAAGAAATTCAAATGTTTGATTCAAAGCAATTCAGGCACTAACGTCATAGTCTATCCCTCAATGATCACATTAGTGTAAATTTTAAAGGCCATTCCTATAAGCTTAGCTTCTCTATAGATGGTAAGAAACGTAGTAGTTCAATATTATTATGACGTATAAAATATCCATGGTCCCCCGTGTTAGATATTAAGACTATTATTAACCAAGTAACATACGCGTTTAAATTATTTGCACGTAATTCCCGTCAAAAAAAAAAAAAAAATTATTTGCACGCAATAGATGTCAAATAAAATTTGTTACCTGTGACAGCACTCATAATTGTAGTCCATACTCCATACAGTGACACTAGTACATAAGTTATAAGTACCATCAACTTCTTACCTGTACTTGTGTCTTGAAAATTTCTACTAAAACATTGCCAAAAATGGAAGCTGAAAAATAGGATAAATAATTCCTCAAATAATGATACTAGTATTAGCTACTTTCACCTCTAAATCACAGAAATTTAGAGATTTTTCAGAAACTTTACAAACTGTTATTATCTCAATATAACTGTCATATTCTTCTTCAATTCACAGATAAAAAGTGAGAAAAATTCTTGTCCTTAATCACATGGGACACTACCCTACATCTAAAGGGTAGTGAGAGAGAAAGTAAAGACCATTAAAATCACATTGACAAGAAGAAAATGGCCCCACTCACATGCAAAGTGGCAAACAGTGCCAACTCTGCAATCACTTTCACATTGAAAATGGCATCATTGAAAAAAAAAATAAAAAAAATATAGAATTAAATATGGAGTAGAAAAATGTTATGGAGCTCCTTATGATTATACAGTAGCATAACATGGTACATTACCTCAGAATTCAGGGGATGAAATCCTGAGTCAGAAAATTTAATATAGTCATAAGAACTATCAAGGGCACATTTAATTTAAGGATAACACATTATAACATACATTGAATTAAAACAAAGTAGTTGTTGATGCAAACATGGGATGTGTTTTACAATCCCTTCTGAGGGAGCGAGTCACTCCCAGGGGATCTGATAGTAATTGTTCGTTCGTTACAGTTATTTCATGACCAACTGATACATTCTTAACAAGATTCAGACTGTAGGTTAAATGAAACTGATAAATATGGGAATTGTGTGGCAGCTCAAACCTCCCAACCTCGAAGTTAAAATTTCGCCTTTTCATCTCTGCTGGCTTCAAAACTGGGTTAGTGGCTAACCCAAAAAAAACAAAAAATTAATGTTGTGCACTTGTGCTACAGTTTGCCTATGAGATGGGTGGGTTCACTCCTGCTTCTTGCAGGGGCCAGTCCCAGGACAAATAAATTACTGGACTTGTGAAAAATACTAATGATATATAACTAGAGCAAGCTCAGAAAAGACCTGGGTGAGCATCTTAGCCTTGAACATAGAACCTGCTCACTTATAACAGTCAGTGATCAGTCAGTCACAAGTTATATTCCAGAATTTAGTTCTCCTTCTGATTCTCTGGTAAATCTGAGAAGGTCTCCAGCACCTAATGCGAGGGGAAACATAGTCAGATGACTAACTTTCAAGTGCTAAAACAAGAGAAACAAACTGACTTTTACTTGCCTCATAGAGGTACCAAGAAGCAAATGCATCAGTTGCTGCATAACGTAATTGGGCCTTTGAAAGCGGATCAGCTTCCCAATTTCCTAGTCTAATCTTCTTAGGCTTCAAGAGCTGCATACAAATATACAATACAATCTTTAATTACAAAATCTTTACTATTAAAAGAGCACATAACACAGCCAAAAGAGTAATGGGGACAGTTAGAGCCACAGTCATAACACACAAAAAAATTGATGGTCGGAGTGGAGAGCAGTTTTCTGAGGTGACAAATACCACAGTGGAATACAAACACAGAACTCAATCCATATGTAAATCAATTGTTTAAACATTTCATAGCACAGATGGGAAAAGGCAATTGAGGCAGCTTTTAAAATTCAGATTAGATATCAAGAAATCACAAAGAAACATGGAGTTACAACTGGCAAATTTAGGCTTCATAGGGAACTTAATATTGAAATTAGAATGGGACATAGCCTTCAAAAAAATTAGGATTGGCAACCCCCTCATTCATATTTTATACACTAAGCATCAGGTTGACGAGTTTACAACAACTTTGTATCATATATCTTTGTATCATAATGATCCTTTAACAAGTTACTCATGACACAGAATAATCTTCACCGGATTTCATTTCTAAGGCTAATTAAGGAAGAGACAAGGCACATAACATGGCTAACAGCAGAATCTGTTACGAATGAGAAGTTCCACAAAAATACTTTTTCAGATGTGATTCTCACAATAAACGAAAATTGTTGTAATCGTGCAATGAAAAACCGAGGTTCATGACTCAAGAAATTAAGTACAATTTATTTATAACAAACTGAAATAAGGAAAAATTGTACGTATATGAAGAAAAGTACGAGTAGCTAAGTTCCCATAACTGATAGGGTCTGGGCAACAAGCCCAAATCTGGGTATGATCTACAATGTCTATAATAAAATTCTCCATGAGAAAATGCAAGGTGCTGCATCATGTCTTCAATTTATGACAATCATCTATCTTAGAATAATCATACAAATAAAAAAAATAAAAAAATGAAACACAGATTGTAAAAATTAAGAAAGAAACTGATGAGCAAAGTTTCTGGTGAACATAAAACAACAAGAAGAAATTGGAGCATATAAAAAAGGCAATTAAAGAATGAAAGTTAAAGACACCCTCGGCATTAAAGAGAGCTTTAAGAGAGGCAATAACCAATAATTAGTAAATCAAGAGGTTCCAATTATGTACTTGTTTGCAAGTAAATGTTTCGACCAGTGAAGACAAACTCCACTGCTTAGGTACACCACCAAGCTTTTGATTGGCCATACTGGATAGATCTTCCAAAGATTTTATTGACACATTATGGTCATGAAAGACTTTGACAGCATCATTGTCAATACCAACTCCAACCTGTAAATAGTACAAAATTAATTCACTATTACAGAAGAGGTTCACAAGAGATACAATTTAGAAGCACAAAATTATAAAACTCACAACCTTGATATATGTAGAATCTTCAAGGAGAGATTGCAGACTACCAGGGATTCCAGAATGAATTATATGCAATACATAACAATGATGCATACCCCCGCATATTTGCATGACTGCAGCTTTTCCCTGTGGAATACCTGTAGCACAAATTTCAATGTAAGAATGATTAGAAAAGGTTGTAATTTACTTAAAAACGTTTGTTGGTGCACATTTTTCGTCATTAATATCATTGAGACAAACCCTTGACTATCGCTGCAACAAATTTTCAAAATTGTCATATCATTGAATCAAATTCATTCTCGATACTTTGTAAACCCTATTGATAAGCCTGTTATGGTTCCAAACCAACTATTATCACCCCGTGAGATACCCTCCACAAGCCCACATCCACTTCAACTTTGAAAAAGTTCCTGAAATTGGTCTAAAAACATGGATTATAACCTTCAATTTTGAATTTTTTTCAACTTTTCCGGCCAGAATGGATAGAGAAAGAGGTGTTTCCCTTAGACCCCGGCAAGCCACTTGGGTGGTTTGACCCATCAACTTTGGCTCTTAACTATCAATTTAGAATGTTATAAGACATGTCTTCCATCATTTATATAGGCCACCTCAAGATGGGACTGAGACACTGAGTGACTAACTAGGAGTAGTCGAGTACATGTTTCCAAACAACCATTTGTGATCACAAGAAGCATCCCCATCATAACATAAATTCATGAACTAGGGTTTGAAAATCTCTGAAGGTTCAATTTCATGTATAACCTTTAATTTTGCCTCAGAAGGACAATTTCGAACTAGCAAGGTTAGACACATTGAGGCACATCCCAAGCTTCTAAAGGGACCCCGTGAGGCCTATTTAGTGGTTGGTTCCATCTAATTCATATCTTAGCCCACGACTTTGCATCCTTCATAAATATGTCTTAGATGGCCTACCATGGCCTTATCGTACCTTGTTACAACAATTTTCATCTTGTTAAAAGTAGTAATTTCAATATAAGAATGGTTAGAAAAGGGTGGTCATTTTCTTACAAAATGTTTGTCGGAGCACAATTTTTATAATTTATATCATTGAACAAAGTAATAAAACTCTTTACTACTATAGTAACAAATTTTCTAAATAGTCATATCACCGAACCAAACTCATTCTTGATACTTTAAAATCCTATTAATAGACTATTACGGTTCCAAACTAGCTTTAGGTTGTTGAAACCATTTGCTTTGGCTCTTAACCATTAATTTAGCTAGTTGTAGATAAGCCTCCTGTCATTTATGTTAGGTCACCTTAGGCCTTTATGTAATAAATAGTATGTGGTTTCAAACAACCTTTTGCTAGCCCAAGATGCCCCCACCATCACTTGAGTTTATCTAGTTATTACATTGGGTCCAAAAATGATTCGAAAACGTGTTTGCAATCTCGGCCTCCAAAACTTTTTTGGACCCGCCTAGGTTAGGCAATAAGATGCTTCCTATGCTTTTTAAGGGACCCCGCGAGCCATATTTGAAGGACAAAGACATCAAATTCATATCTTAGCTCATGAATTTGCACCAATGCACCCTCAAAATTATTTTTCTTAAGTCACCTACCTCGGTAAAGGAAATAGAGAAGAAAGGATTCAAGAAAGGGAATTCAAGTTACATAATTGGTACAATTACCCAAAAAAAAAAAGCATTCAACAAACTCTCTCTCTCTCTCTCTCTCTCTCTCTCTCTCTCTCTCTATAGCACAAATTCCATGTTCATCATCTGCTCCCTTATCCTTCTTCAACCAAACACCATCTTCGTCTCTTACTGACTTCGATGATGATCCATTGCTCCCTATTGCTTCTGAGAAACCAACCAACCTTCATCTCTTTCTAGGGCTGTGTTGCAGTGGTCAGGTTAGTCTGTTTGGATATTTTTGTGGTGGTCTTTTAGCAGTTGGATTCCACGGTTCCACCATTTAACTTTAGATAAAAAGCTTCAATGACTGAGCTCAACCACCATCAATCCCTTAACCATGATCTTTCAGGATCATACTACTCTATCAAAGTTTATGTCTGCAAATACCATTTATTCCCCTGATTTGATATCTCAAATTTGCTCATACTTGCTGAAATATGCAGCTTTTAAGGATGTAATAATGGTTTTTGGGTTTCCAAATGGAAGGACAAAGGTGGGATAGGCCGATGGGGCTTGAGGCTTAGAATGTGTGGGGGGGCAAATAACAAAAGACACGATAAAAATCAATAAACTGCACACTAAAAGTTATAGTATAGATAGCAAAATAACAAAAAAGATGATATAAACCAATAAACTGCACACTACATTTAATTAATAAGGTGAAGAACAGAAAGATATACTCCACCCAATAATTTTGGAAAAAACATCAATGGAGGGAATAAAACCAAAGGCTGATGCATTGCATAAGCATACTACATCGAGGTCAGAGCTATAGATGCAATAACATTGGTCAATTTGGTTACAGTCCTGCATCGATCTTATATGCTATTATGTAACAGTCCCTTATGAGTTGTGCTCACAGTTTATCAGTTTGGAAAACTGAAAAGCTATAATGAAGTGCCAAATATGTGACATAAGGGGCCTTGTGACCATACATAATATTCAAATTCACAATATGAGCCATTGCACAGTCTCAAGTATTCAAGGGAACATAGCTAACTCTATCACAGTTGTCAAACCAAAGGCTAGAATCCCTCCAAATGGATGACACTACTGATACAAAAGAGATATCAGAATGATCATACCTTCTTAGGGGCTTGGCCCTAGCAGCATTTTGTGATGATGCCAAGTTCAAGGGAATAAGAAGAACACCATAAAAGTTCGAAAGAATTTCAATCTAACCACAACATGTGGGTTGTCAAAGAAAACATATCAAAGGTCACCCTTTAGAGATTATGATCTCACACTCTCACAAGAGGGTATCATGAATATCAAGGTCACTGGCAAGGACGTTGTGCACTGAACACAATCACAATGGTAACCTAGTCTCTACTGCAAAGTCCATAATTTGGTGGGACATGGTCACGTTGCCCAAATGGAAATAATACTGTAAGAAATTCAATACTCCAACCCCCCAAAGACTAATTCCATATAGTGCATGACCAAGAAGATATCGTAAAAGGTTGTCTTTATTAATCTCAGAATAAAAAAAGTTTAATGCTTACATGTAAGACCACCCGAAATAAGTTATGCTACTGCCAAAGACGAGATTTGGGGTCCGAAGCCAAATGTCAAAAAATTAGTCAATTGAGGACCTCAAGAAGCTTGGCATTAACTGCTAAAGTTCAAGGAAAAAACCCAATGTTAATAATTTGGATATATTTAGTTCCATACTTAGAGATGTCCTAGGAAGAAGAACAAATAGAACAGCATCTCCAATCATTTCAGCTTTTCAGGCATAATGTAAGACGCATTAAGCTTTTGAAACAAAGTAAGCATAATCTCATCAAATTACAGACCTGACTAAGATCAAAGATAACTTATACGACGTGGGGGAGTTCCAAGAAAGCAACAAAGATAATATATGCCCATGGTTACAAGCCACAATGGAAATGGGAATATTAACAAGTTCGAAAAAATGATCCTCAAAGCAAAAGTTGTCATAAAACACGTCTTTAAAGGCTCGGCTACTGTTATGATGTCATCAAACTACTCGCTAGGGTAAATAAAACCCTTTCTTCAAACCATGCACTTTCAACATGGTTCCATTGTCCAAATCGCCTCACGTCCCTAATAACGTGTAATGTACAAGATCAAACAAAAATGAAACATATACCTAACTATCTAAGTCAAAGGCAAGCTTTTTACAAGTGAATATTGCTTGTCAGATAAGCCCCTCAAACCAGTGTTTGAAATGGCTCGACAGAGCACTGAAACCAAGCACTTATGAAGATCTCGGCAAGTCGCTTTTGGACACTAAATGGCACAGTGAGAATTACAGGCTGCATTAATTCCATGTATGCAATCTGTTTTATACACAACTTTAAGAACTGCGCTTCACACCTAAGCCCTGTGACTCCATCACCTAGGCACATTAAACCTTCTCAACTATTGTCAACGAATCAATGATTCAAAGGTATCTTAATCAATTACCAATCTGGAATAATTATGCCCAAAGGGTCAGGATTCAATCATCCTAGTTTGTGTATGGAACTTTCCATCCATAGATAAAGCCAGATGGTACAAACCTATTGTCCTGTTAAAGGCTAATGGCATAACTGCAAAGCCTACATTCAGAAGCACTTCGTCAAGTCACAACTATCAAAGTCTATCATAGTTTGAACTAAGGGTAATTAAAAGCTAACAGTCAATACTTGATACCTCCAATTAGAAATTACAAGCATGAACAATGCCGCAAACAATCAGAGGGTAAGAAGTAAGGTCTTGCCTCAAACTGATAGTAAAGCTTAAATCACATATTTATAAATAACATGCTAAAAGGTTTCCAGCAATGATAGATTGGGTGCCTAAGCCTAAACTACACAAGCACTGATATAATAACATCAACAACAACATTCCTCGAGACCTCTAGATAGGCTCCAACACAAGATGGATAAGGGTTATAAATACAATCTTATTCTCATGGTAATATTAAAGCTACTTCACCATTGTTAAGAAGTACACAGAGTTTATAATGATCATTTTAGTTAGTCCATTAGAATCCAAAGTCAAATAACATTCCCAAGAACAAAGTTGTAGCGCGTGATCATGCTTCTCATTCTCATGCCAGACAAGCAATAGGCTCATATAGATATGAGCTTGGTAATCTAACAAACGAAACACTAAAGCACGAATAAGAAACCACATAAACCAACCTCGATCGAAGCTAGGTTTCCATTCAATGTCAAGGCCGAGAACAGCCCTGCCTGTTTCGCATTTCCTAGCCTCCAAAAACTTCAAAATCTCCAATGTAGCTTCCTCTACCTCCTCCGTCGTCCGGGAATACACAATGCGGCCACAAAAATTCAGTGCAGGATACTTCATTTTCACACTGCCTAACAAACAAAGTTACAAAATTCAATTCATCACATCTACAACAAAATATCCCCACAAATCACAATACTAATATTCTAAAAACAATCCATCAAAAACCTAAATTCCAGGCAATAACACAAAATTAACCAAATTTATAAAATCAAACAAACCCCAATTTCCAAAAAAATCCAATAAGTTTTACCTTGGTGGTGGAAGGCCCGATTTCTTGAACACGGGGTTAGCGCGAAAGAACCCGAATTCGGAGATGAACCCAATTCACCATTTGAGCAAGAAATGGAGCCCGGCAATCGACGGCGGGTCGTGGGTCGGGTATTAGGGTCATCGTCGCCGTTAACTGAAGAACTGCTACGTGGGGTTTTGAAGGAAGACGAAGAAGATGAAGGGGTTGCAGAAATTGTTGATGTTGCAGCTTCAAAAGCTGCTTCAATGGCTTCCAATTCTTCGTTTGAAAAGGGTTTATCCCAATCATCAACAATTGTTTGAAATTCAGTTGTTGTTGTGATTGTTGTTTCTGTTGTTGATGATGATGAAAAATAGGGTTTTTCTGGGAAATTCTTCATTTTTGGCGGAGTGTTTGAAACTTTTTAAACGTTTGGGAGTTGGAATTTTAGATTGAGAGACTTTCAGTTGAGAGACTTTCTTCTATAACAAGTGTTTTGAAATGTGAATATTTTGTTTTTTGTTTTTTTTTTTGGTACAAAGAGAATTTTATAAATGACAAACTTTTAAATAAAACGGATGTTCAGTAAATTACTAAACATCCGTTATAAAGTGACAACAAAATGTGCAAAAATTACACTAAAACGCACAAAAGTTACCCTGACATATATAAAAGTTTTTTATGTTTCTTTGATAAATTTGACAAAAGTGACACTAAATTTGACAAAAGTGACACAAAATCTGACAAAAGTGTACTCGATGTACAGTAAATTACTGAAAACTGGGTGTATACAAAAGTTTTCCTTTATAAATAATGAGCAAATTACAACCTAAGCTAAAATAAAGGAACTAAAATACAACACACTAAAATTTCATTACATACTTTGGTAATATGACCTATGCAAAAGAGAGCACTGCTACCGCAAATATTTGGTCGAAAAGAACAAGACAAACCCCGTTAAGAATTACTTGGGAGTCATGAACTTGCCGCCACCACAAAATACCCAAATCGGATCGAAGAAGATGAGGAAGCTGAAAATGGGAGTACCAATGTAGCATAGGGCCTAGGAAAAAGAACGGTACACAAGTACACAACGTTGATGGAAGTCGGTATGAGCAAAATACTACCTTTTCAAATCTCAAGTGCCATGACACTAAGGTCAACCCAAGGTCCTAACCACAACGAACATCCTGAGATCCTTGACCATGAGCTACTTAGGTTGGAAATACTCCTATATAGGAGTGCCCATAATTCGGATAAAAACCGAAATCCAATCCAATCCAAACCGAATTATCAATTCGGATCGGATCCAAACTTTAAATCGGATCGGATTGGATTGAGATTTTTTGGAAATTCGGATTTTCGGATTGGATCGGATTGACCCTAATTGGATCCAATCCAAACCAAAAACCGAATTATAAAATTAAGCTTGTATAAATATGAATTTTTTGTATATTTTGAAGTTTAGTTTAAATACATACTACTACATAAAATAAGTTAGAGAGACTTTGTATTAATTAATTAATGACTTGACGTTGAACTATTTATTTTAATCATGATTTTGAGGACTTTTATTTATAGTGAAGCTTTATTTTTATAATTGTATTAGGCGCTAAAAGATAATGTATTATAATTCGGATTTTCGGATCGGATCCAAATAACCGAATTGTAATTCGGATTGGATTGGATTGGATCAAGAGAGAAATTCGGATCGGATCGGATCGGAAAATTGAAAACCGAATTATATTTCGGATTGGATCGAATTTGGACTAAATCCAAACCGAAAACCGAACGGACACTCCTACTCCTATAATCTATTATCTTAAGCTGTAACATTTCACATTATTAGTTAAAGTTGTGACTAAGGTAAAAAAAAAAAAACAAAAAAAAAACAGAACACTTTTGATAATATGATTTAGCTGCTAAATTAAATGGTCTTGGACTCTTGGTGCATATGAACCGGTGACATTGTTACCATCAATCACCTCTTTCAACTCATGGTCTGTTCTTCACATTTTGTTTTCCAGGTACACCATTAATGTAATTAGCTTCAAAATATCATTTTTGCTAACTCTGAAATTGTTGTAATATCAATTGATAATTCTCTGAAAAAAAAAAAAAAAAAAAATTCAATTTAGCCCAGTTTAATAATGTAATCATGAACTAGGTATTGCTTGTTTTTTCAAATAATCAATTTCCTCATTTTCACATTTTTTGGTCATGAAATTAATTAACTTGTTGATATTTCAATAAATGGCAGCAATTCTATCTGCAATGCCATTATGTCCAAATCGCAGGTTATTCTCCGGTCAATTTGGGTCATAAATGCATCGACTTGTACCGAGTTTGACCCGGTTATGTTCAGTCAAGGTCCAAATCTAACACACAAATTAAATTGATTATGTATAACATATAGTTTCAAGTGATAATTAAATTCTGATAAAAACAATGAAAAACAATGTTTTATGTAATTTAATACAATACGCATTATTATGTAATTTGTTTATTTATAAATATTTATACACGCACAAAAACCCAGCTTGTTATTGACCCGACCCGAATTTTACTGGAAATAATATGAACTTATAATGTATATATTTCTTATTTAAACTTACTTTAACTTATTAGCTCAAATTTATGCTTCACAATCAACCTCGTCATCATCATCAAAGCTTTCAATTAGTTCAGAAAAGGATGCTGATTTGGTTGCTGCTTCCACTCCCCCCGATTCTCTTCTTTTTATGTAAGAGCTCTCTAATTTTTGTCTTTCCTTAAGTTGGTGATAATTTGTGCTTGAAAAAAAATAATTGTTAGGGGGGTCTAGCAGGGATGACAATTCAATCTGAGTTCCATTCTAATCCAACCCGATTTGAAAAAGATATCATATCCAACTCTGATAATGATCCTTCCGGAAAACATCAAGGTCCTCTACCAAGGTGTATGAAGAGAAGTGTATAATTGTGATACTGTTATAGTGTCATTTAAGAGGGAACACCCAACAAATTATAAATTGTTATATACATCCAAGTATAAGGTACACTCAAGTATATTTTACACTACTCGTACTTATTTGATATATGAGTATTTTTTTTTTTTGCTCATTTAATTTTCAAATAAAAAGAGCAAAATTATATCAAATAAGCAAAAAACAAAAAAGGGAAAAAAAAAAACTTTGGGTGCACCTATCTTTATGCACACCCGGGTGTATATAATAGATTCCCCAAAAATAAATTAATTAAGGGATCGTTGTCGTTGGTCTTTTGATCAACTTACTTTCGTTACTTAAGTGGTATAGTAATCGTAATTTCATAAAGTATTATCCTCAACTTTTGACTATGATGGGTGACATATGCACTATTGAGGTCTGACTATCGATTATGAAGTATTACCTCTGTCCTTATTTGTTTGCCACATAAATTTTTTGAGATGGTACCGTCGTTTTTAAATTCCACCCTCCTCCTTCCTTCCCCAGGTTTACCCACCTTCCATTGATACCATTATTTCCACCATGTCTCCACCTTCCACTGGTGGCACCACCACATCGAAAAATTCTATGAATAATTGTGAAATTATGGCTGATTAACCTCAAAGATATAGTGGTGAGCATGTTCTCCATTGAAGGTGTAAAAAATGGTGGAGATCGAGGGAGGGAGAAGGAGGGACTTCAATGGAGGATGGAGAAAAGACGAAGCTTCAATGGAGGATTGAGGAGCTTCAATTCTCCTCTATTATACCATTACTCATAAGTTACACTCCTCTAGTCCTTTTCTTTATAAAAAGTGTTTTGAGAAATAGTTTTTGAAATGTGAATAGTCGTTCTGAAGTCATATTCTATAATACATTTAGAAATTCTAATGAATAGTTACTTCCCATTGTTTACCAAATAACTTTATAACATGTCACAAACATATATTTTATTAGAATGAGTTCGAACTTGGATCTTGACTCTAAGGATCGAGAATTATTCAACCACCTAATCTATCCATTTTATTATACTCCCTCTATTTTTTTAAACCTTAATGATTTTTCCTTTTATTCCCTAAACATTGAAGAGCAGGGGAAGGGGACAAACACTTTTTATTGCTTTATTTCTTAGACTAATTCAACGAAAGCCGTTAATAATAGGAAAATGCTATACATAGCCCTTAGGGCTACATATAAGCATTTAATTTACTCTAGAAAATTGTTAAAAATTTCAAAATTCATGACAAAAACACACTAATTACACCGATTTGCGCATGTTCTTGTCATGAATTCTTAACTTTATATATTTTTCAAGAGTAAATTTAATGCTTAAGTATAGCCCTAAGGGCTATGTATTAATATTACGGAGTAATAGTTTTCATTAATATAACCGCTATCACCCTTCTGGTTTCACTATTACAGTATCGTAACCCTCCTACATGGACGGTATAAAGGGAATTACGAGTAATTTGTACTCGTACTAACCAAAGCAAATGGGGAATTAAATTTTTGGCTTACTTCGTAAGTCCGTAACCAATTTTATTTAATCGTTCGAGTATTCCCGCGCCCATTACAGAGTCGCAAAACTCCATATAAACAACTCACAAAACTTTTTGAGTGAAAATAATTGAAAATTAAACCCCCACAAAACCCTTGTTTTCATCTCTCACACTTTCGCCGGGAAAAAATTCCGGCGAAAACTCCATTAATTTTGCAGCAAATTGATCAAAATCACTCAAATCAGAGAAAACCCTTTAAAATTCGCAGCAAATTGTATAGAAAGCAGCAAAAATGAGTACAGTAGACAAGATGCTGATTAAAGGAATCCGGAGTTTCGACCCGGAAAACAAGCATGTCATCACCTTCTTCAAACCCTTAACCTTAATCGTGGGGTCCAATGGCGCCGGAAAAACTGTATATTTCTATTTTATTTTATTTTATTTTATTTTTTTTGTATTTTTTTGGTTACCCATTTTCTTATTTTTGTTGTAAATAACCTTAATTTTTCTGGGGTTTGAATGTAATATATTGCTTGGTATTTTTATTTATTAGATTATAGTGGGGTGTTTATTTGCTTTTAATATATTGTTGGTGATTAAATTGAGTTGCCCATTTCCTCTTTTGATTTTTTTTTTTAAAAAAAAAATTATATGTTAGTTGCAAAGTGTATAACATTTAGGGATGAAAAAGGGTGAAGTTTTGCTAATGATGGGCAATTAATTGAAAATTGATATTGAAATTGTAATTTAGAAGGATGATTAATGTACTTGGAATTGTAGGATTACTCTATATTGTTTGTGATTAGTTTGATTTGGGTGTAGACTGTAATCGAGTGCTTGAAGGTTGCATGCACCGGGGAGTTGCCTCCGAATGCTAGGTCGGGTCAAAGCTTCATTCATGATCCCAAGGTTTCTAATTCTCTCAGCTATATTTTTTTAATTTGTTTGGATTGTTTTGTTTTATTGGAGATTGGTGCTAATATGAGGGTTTTGCTTTGTTGGGTATGAATGGTAGGTGGCGGGAGAGACAGAGACAAAAGCGCAAATTAAGCTCCGGTTTAAGACAGCCGCAGGGAAAGATGTTGTGTGTATAAGGTCGTTTCAGCTAACTCAAAAGGCGTCTAAGATGGAGTATAAAGCTATTGAAAGTGTGCTCCAGACTATTAACCCAAATACAGGGGAGGTGAATACATGCTCATTAATGCTATCGTTGTGTTGTACGTCATAGATTGTTTATCTGCAGCAATTATTGAAACTTGGATGTTGCTAGAATCATTGTTTAGTGATTATTCAACGGCTATTT